TAATTCACAGTTATCTCACATATGCTAATATAGTGTGGGCTAATACACACAAAACAAAATTAATCAAACTACAAGGCTTGCAAAACCATGCTTGTAAAGCAACTCATTATCTAGGTAGAATGGACAATCCTTCCAATGCGATGACAAATATGAAAGTCTTAAACTTGGAAAATATATATATGTATATATGTATATATATGTATGTATGTGTGTATGTGTATGTGTGTGTGTATGTATGTACATGTATATATATATGTATATATATATATATATATATATATATATATATATATATATATATATATATATATATATATATATATATATATATAATATATATATATATATATATATATATATATATATGTATATAACAGTAGAAATAGTAATTACAAAGCTAATTACAAAAAATTATTTCTAATTTTACTTAACTTTTTTTATATACATAGATATACGCCAAACGGCGCTATTAAGGGAACCTGCGAAAAGATTTTTTTTGGAGCTTTATACCCAAAAATGCTGAATCTTCTTTGATTTCTTTTTTTTAGGTATTAAAGTATAGAAAAAAATAAACATATATATAATAGTTATTATACCAGAATTTATATTAAGTTTGCATCAATACTGTATTAATGTATCAAAGTTAAATTAATGTATTTTTATCAATCTGATACGTAATGATTATATATATATATTTTCTTTTTATCACGATAATAAATAAATATTTTATATGGTATACCTGGAGAAAAAAAAAAAAAATAATTTTTTTTTTTTTTTTTTTTTTTTTTTTTTTTTTTTTTTTTAGTATTGTATTTGCCGATTGAAAATAATTTACACTCGTAATTTATAAAAACAAATATTTACATGACTGGGGCTTGAAGAAGACAAAATTCATCTTATCATTAAGCCCCCCCAAAAAAATGCATATTCATCGAATAAAATATTTTAACAAAATGTAAAAAATAAAATATATAACGTTTAAAATATTTAGTAATTCAAAGAGTATTTATATTTAAGAACTGATTAGTAAAATAAGATGATATATAAGTATTAATATTACAAAAAGAATTTACAATAACTTTTTTTAATAAAAATTGAAATTATAAAATTTTACAATATTTTTAGTAATTAGTATTTCAAATAATAAAACTTAAAAAATCGTTTGTAAATTCAAAACTTATAAGATAAGAAATACATTTACAATAGCAGACTATTGTTTAGAATATTAAATATAATATTAAAGAGTAATTAGTAGGTTAATTTTTGTTTTTGTTTGCTAGTTTAAAAAGCTTTTTAGAAGAAATTTAATTCATTTTCATGTATCATCAGTAATTGCTTGAGTTTTGTTTTAAACTGGTTTAAAGAATAATTAGATTTCAGCTCATTATTTAATATTGTATTCCACAGCTTAGGACCTCGATTTGCAATTGAGAATTTGGTTGCTGAATAATGTGTTTTGGATTGAATGTAATTGTTTTTTGAAAATCTGGTAGGGTATATGTGGTTTATTTTTTCAAAAAGTGAATTAAATAACATTGGTGATATTTTTTTATCAAGTTTAAACATGAAGATAAGAATATGGTAAAGGTTTAGTTTATATACATTTAGAATATTAAGTTTATTAAATAATGTTTTAGTGTGAGAGAAACGGTCTACTTTGTAATTATCCTTATAGCCTGTTTTTGTTTACTAAACAGTTTTTTTACTTTTGTTGCTTTTGTGCTGCACCAAGCAACGTTTGCATAATTTAAGTAGCAATGAATTAAAGAAAAATATAAGTTTTTTAAACAAGATAGATTTAAAAACTGCTTGGCTTTATACAAAACACCTATATTTTTTGATATTTTATTTTCAATTAGACCTATGTGGTCCCTCCAGGTTAAATTTTCATCCAGAACCACACCTAAAAACTTTATTGATTGCTCTCTTTTTAATAATGCGTTATCAATAAAAAGATCAGGAAGTTTTAATGGAATATCTTGTTTTTTATGAAGACGATGGAACAAAGTGTATTTGGATTTATTGATGTTCAAAGATAGTTTGTTTGATTTGAACCATAATAAATAAATAAATAAAATAAAAATTAAATAAAATTTATTCTTCTGATTGAAGTCTTTAAAATAATGCAAAATAAATAATTTAACGGCAAGCGAAAAATAAAAAAAAAATCACATCATTAACAACCATAAAGACCATGGTTGGCAAAAAACTTCGCATTTTACCGACTACTTTTTTTACGAACAAATGTTCATGCTATATCTAACTTTAGTTGTTGCTGTTTATTAGGAATTTGGCTTCTTGTTGATTAATTAAGTCTAAACTTTAAAATTATATTATAAACAATGTTTAGTTTATATTAGTTTTAACATTGAAGTATAATAAAATTACCATTTAGTAATTACTAATTACAAGTGAGAAAAGTTATTTTTATTATACTTATTAGTTTATTACGTTTAAATTAGTTATCTATTGTTAGAAATTAGGCAAATTATAATTTAAAAACGGAGTATATTCTCCATACTCGGGCGACAGCCTGTTTCTTTTGGCTTAAAATATGTTTCCCGTTGTGCTAAAAGAGAGGTTCTCTTAACGGATGAAGGAGGTGCACACAAAATTTTTATTGAGAACCTTGCCAAAACCCACTTGGTAGTGTCTTCATCGGAACTTTTTATTTTTATTTTTCGTTATTTAGGTGCACCAAGAAGACCTAACGATCTTGTCACAAAGCACGGCGGAAGTGCATTTAACCAGGAAGTTGACGCCTCTTTCCTTACCGTGACGCGAAAATATGTTCAGAGCTCGTTTTGAACTTGAATCTCCTGCATATAAAGCAAGCGCTGTAGCCACTACGCCATGGCTGTGCGTAGCTGCTTTAATTATAAACACCCCACCACTTATAAGAACATTCATTTTTTGGTTGATAGGCTAAAGTAGAAGTGAATCAATTGATGAATTAATTGAAAGTTAAAAATAATATTTTACATCTTTAATCAAGTAAGGAAAACAGACTCTTGTTCAACTTATATATTGTAACGAATAAACATTTATAGTAGATAAATATTTATGTTGTGCATGAAAAATTAAAAATATTAAATGCAAAAAGACCCGTAACTACAGGTAGACACAACCTGCCTGTATATAGTTTGTGCCTTCCAGGGTTTGGCTTGCAGTAATATTAAACTTGTAAATAAATTTTTTGTAACTGAATCCAACAAAATAATTAATTTGAAAATTAACGTCAATTTTTAATTAAATTTGTAATTAATTTAAAAAAATAACAATTTTATTCATAAAATTGTTATTTTTTAAAATTTATTATTAAAAATTATTATTTAAGATATTTTTTATTTGTACCATTTTCCTTTTAAATTTTGAGTTTTTCCTCAAGGATTTTTGCTATTATACTTTTTTCCCCACAATCAGTGTTTTCACATTTCTGTGAAGCATTTTCATTTATACCCATTTGATCGAAAAAGCTGAATACAACTATACTTTATTGTTTTCTTTTTTGATTTGACCATTACGATCAGAGTCTTTAACGAAATCAACTTCTTGTTGTAAATGATTATTTATAACAAGCAAGCAAATTTTATATCAAGGGTACAACCACTTTTGTTTTGAGTTTTGATACTCCAAATGAAAGCGGTAATACCCTTGATATAATATTACATACTATAAAATTATATACTTTACATACTTAAACATACTATGGTCTGTTTCATTAAAAAAAAAAAAAATGTAAAACGGGATTTGAGCATCATATCAATTTTTAGACAAAAATTACCTTTGCATTTATGAAAATAATTTTTAAAATCAGTTTTAAGCTCATCAACAACAGTTTTGATTTCAGTTGATTTGCCCTAAGCATAGTCAAGAAACGGTATGATCTCTGATGTGTCTGCACTCATACCTTTCGTGTGCTTTCAAAGGGTTTTAGTATGCATACATTTATTTCAGCCATTGATTTTCATTAGGTTATATGCTTTTTAATTATAAAATCATTAATTATTCATGTTTTCAATTAATTTTACTAGCGTACGTTTCAAGCGCAAAAAACTAAATACAAATTACAGTGAAAATACACGGTTTTTGTTTCAGTAAATACACGGAATAAAACTAAACATAGAACTTAAATAAAATATAAAAAAGCACCCATTAATTTTGATAAGCGGGCAATCAAAAAAAAAAAAAATAACAATATAGTTTGCAGTTTCGGAATGTATACTATGTATGCCGCGGCATACGTCATGAATTCAAAGTAAAGGAGCAAATTACAAGTAGTAGAGTTGTAATATAAAGTAATTATATTGCAAGCAATAAAACTATTTTATGTTTATTATAACAGTAGCTTATTACCTTTAATTACCTAAAAAAACTCGCCGAAGCTTCAGCAAAAACTTGCCCTGGCTTCGGTACATCCCTACTGTTTATTGATGGCCCTCTAGCTCCAGGTTTCGATTTACGCGTTTACGAGGCCTGTTAGTATACACGATGACGGCACATCCTTAAAAATCTCAGTTTGCTTACAAATCCTCGTTTGTGAACGCCCAACGTCAGTAATCTTTTTTTTAAAACATTCGTAAATAGTTGCAAAATATTTTTTTAAAATTTCTGAGAGAAACTAAAAAAATGATTTAAAAAGGTTTTTTGAACTTATTATTAATTCTTATTTGAAGACATAATCGACTAATTTAACAAATTATAAAATACTTTCTTTAATAATGTGATGTAAATTTTTTACTAAATGGGAAGTTATTATTCAAAAACTTACAAAAAATAATGTTACCCAGGTAAAAATTTACAACCTACAGCGAAATTTCAGGAAAGTAGGGAAATCATTTGACAAAATTCTTAATTAAAAAAGGATTTCTTAGCTGGATAGGAAATATATAGGACGGTCTTTATATATCTTTTCATCTGAACATATATTTATATAGGTAGAGTAAATGTAAGAAGCATGAGACCTTTAAAATAAAAAAAACAACAAAAAAAAACAACCCTTGTTTTATAAAAGTGTTTTATATAATAAAATGCTAAAAAACATCCCTAAAATTTAGAAATGCCATGTTTTTCAACAGTAGCATTTAAAAGCGATATAAACTGATCATTTTCTTTGACTTCATTTTCCAGATGATCTTTATATAAATTACGAAGTCCTTCTATATCGTTAACTTTATCTATAACAAAAAATGTATTTATTGCGTGTGTGTGTATATATATATATATATATATATATATATATATATATATATATATACATATATATGTATGTATGTATGTATGTATGCATATATATATATAAATTTTCTCTCTCTATATATATTTATGTATATATATGTATGCATGCATGTATGTGTATGTATGTATGTATGTATGTGTGTGCGTGTGTGTGTGTGCATATATATATATATATATATATATATATATATATATATATATATATATATATATATATATATATATATATATATATATATATATATATATATCGAGAGAGATACACACATGTATCAGAAAAACATAAAAGTGAGAGAATTTCAAACGAGAGGATGAAAAAAGAACTAAACAAAGTGAAAAGATCTCTTTAACTAACTTGTGACTTCACTGAATACAAGGTTGAATTTTGTTTATTAGACAATAAGTCAAAGTAAATTCGAGGAGAAATTATCAAAGCATTTATAAAAAAGAGAGATAATTTTTGACTCGTTGTAAATATTTCTTTATATCTATCCACTGTTTTTTTAGTTGATAATTTTTTTGACTCGTTACTAAATATTACTTGTTTCCATAATTAGTGCTGTTATTTATTAACGCATACTTCATTATTTTTGTTAAACCAAAGCTTTGCTGTAAAATATAGAGTTTTCAAAAAAAAAAATCCTTCTTCTAATTTGCATATGGGTTTATGTATATTTATGTAATTTTTATTATTTACGTATGATACCTATATAAAATAATTTAGGTAAGATACCTATAAATTTTTCTAACACTCCATATTAAATGTAAGTAATCAAAGTATTAAATTTTAATTATATAATATTAATCAAAATACTTTAGTTTAAAATTTTCTAAGAATTTATTTTATGCATGAATGTATTATTAGTTTTGAACCTTTTAAAACTCTTAAAATTAAAGCAATCAGAATTTTTTAAAACTCTTAAAATTAAACCAATCAGATTTTTAATTATTTGTTAACCATGAGCAATTTAATTTTTTTTCTCAATATTTTAATTACTTATATTACATACAATTACAATAACCGTATGTTATCAATTAGATGTTAGTTTTTCCAATCATCATAATCATATGATTTTCTCCAATTTCCAATGATATGATATATTATTTTATAAGTTTGGTTTAATGAATTTCTTGAATATTTGTTTGTTTTTTAGTAACTTGTTAGTTCATCATGCCCCATAAATTTTTAATCGAGTTTAAAGCTACTGGATTACACCAGCCAAGACAATTGGCGCTAACCAATTAAACGATGTTTTTAGCGAAACAATAAAAATGAAAGACTGCGTTATATGACATAGTTATTGTTTTATCTTATAATGTTTAATGCCATACTTCGTTGGCATTGAATTAATCATGAATAGGGTTATCACTAAAACGTTACAAATTCGATACTAATTAACTTTTATTTTGTTGATACGAAAACCCATGTCAGAGCCTGAAATACATATATAAACGCAGACGGAGCCGCTACCAATTAAAAATAATCATAAACAGAAATTTCTCAATATCAATTTTACAGTTACTAATTTTTTGACTCGTTACTAAATATAATTAGTTTCCATAATTGCATTGACTAAACACAACGTTGCAACGTTTTTTACATTAAGCAATTAATATTGAAAAAGCTTTCTTACAGCATGAAACTAAGACTAAAGTAATAACTCGGCTCCATGATACAGCCTTTTTTTAAAAAACAACAAAAAACAAAAACAAAACAAAAAAAAAGCAAAAACTTTATTTTTACGAACTTTAATTGAATAATTGATGATTTTGTAAACTATTTTGATAAAAAAAAGAAAAAGAATAAGATATTAATTCTTGTTGTTTTTGTTTTAATAGTAACAGATAGTTCTTAAAAAAGAAACACAACAGATAGATCTGAAAAAAAGTAATAAACAAGTTCTAAACAAAAGTAGTAGATAGTTGTAAAAGTTTAAAAATATACCTAGTGCCAATAAGTAAGAAGGATATGCAACATGGTATGCAAGTTTGTTTGATTTCAAGAACTTGATAATGTTTTCAATAAATTTAATCTAAAATTAAAAAAAAGTTACACATTATTATCAAATTTTTAAAATAAGATTTCTTGTGGTATTATTTCTTATCAGCTTTATATAAATGGAAATGTTTTATATTAATTTAGACTCCAATATATATATATATATATATATATATATATATATATATATATATATATATATATATATATATATATATATATATATATATATATATATATATATATATATATATATATATATATATATATATAAATATAAATATATAAAAGTTGATTATTTTTCCTTATGAAATGGGAATATGACAAATAAAGGTTAAACGCATTGTGATTTCCACAAAAATCAATGTAACAAACTATTTTGTATGACAATGAATACCATACTGAACTAAGTTATAAATTAACATTTTATAATAAATAGTTACTACAAATCTAAGATGTCAAATGCCCAATTGTATTTGGTAAGACCAAATACAATTGGGCGTTTTTCTTTGTTAAAACTTTTATTATTAAGTATTAGAAATAGAGAAAAAACTAACTATTCAATATTTGAGATTCGATTTAAAGTTAAAATTTGCAGGGGGGTCTATGTATGTATTTATACATACATATATATAGTTAAATAATAATTAGGACGTGATAATATTAACAAGCAAATAATTCCTTACATCACCAAGCTGTTCGGCTGACTCAGCATATTTTTTTAAATGACCAACCAAAATATCTTGCTTTAAAATTTTTCCTTCATTATCACGAGTTGAACTGCTTTCACTTTCAGTCACTACTTCATTTTTCTAAATTCATATATTTCAATAAATGCATTTTAATTTTTGATATATATATATATATATATATATATATATATATATATATATATATATATATATATATATATATATATATATGAAAATAACTTTTAAAGAAAGTAACTTTAAACGCAACAAATTATATGAATCAAGAAAATACAAGAAAAGAAAATTCCGAAGCAATGATGCATACCAGATGTATAACTAGTAAAAGTTTTTTAAACACATTCGAAAAACTTTTGAACAAAAAGATATTTGAAAAACTTTTTGAACACAAATATATTCGAAAAACTTTTGATAAATCAACAAGCTCAAATTTGTAGAGAAAAAAAATTAAAAATAAATTTTTAAACAGTGAGCATAGTAGTAGTTTTAGAAAGAGAAAAAAAACGAGACAAAAAATTAAGTTTGGTTGCAAATGCAAACTTTGTTTACAATTTATTTTTGCATATTTTCTAAAAGGAGTTATTTGAAGATCTGTCTAAATATGACAAAAGTAATCCATAAAAAGACAAAGAAAGGATTTATCAAAACAGAATAGGCAAATACAATAAAAACTGGGCAACAAAAAAGATATGGCATATTATATTATATGACTATTATATGGTTAGTAAAGTTAGTTGTAAAACATTCAGTCAGATCCAGACCACAGATTGTAAGAAAGCCAAAGTGAGAAAAGAATTTTAGCTACAGAACCAGAAGTGAAAACAAATTGATCACAAACAAAATAAGTTATCTCAAAAAGTCATCACAAATCAAGAAACAAAGAAAATTAATTTGGATCATCTTGAAGGAAAGTAAAAATTAATGGTAAAAATAATTCTGAGAAAATAGTAAACAGTAGTTAACAGTAAGGAGTAAGTAGGAAATCAGTAAGGAGTACAAAGTGGTAAATAAGTAAGGAGTAGAAGGTGGTAAAGGTGGCAAATAAATCTGTTAATACTCAGAGATTTTACAGCTGTTTTTTATTTTGTGTTGTTGCTTTTGTTTAAATGAATTTACTTTCAACAAAACTGCAAGCAATACTTAAATTGAGAAATAACAGAAAAGAAAATGTTAAAGTGCAAGCAGTTGACAGAAAACTTAAACTATAAATTGCATGGTAAGAAAAACATGAAGATGTGATTGAATTCCAAAACACTGACGTTCAAGGAAAGAAACTACACCTTTTCAAGATGTAATTGAGAACATAAAAATCGTAATTAATAAATCACAATATCTAATTGAGAAACACGACATGTAATTTAGATATTGTAATATGTAATTAAGAAACACAACATGTAATTACAAAATCATAAAATGTAATTAAGAAACACAACATAAATAAGAAATCGCATTATATAATTAAGAATACATAAACTGTAATTAAGAAATTGTAATATGTAAATGAGAATACATAATTTGTAATTGCAAATTCACAATGTAAGCTTATAGGTCATTATAAAAGGTCTTCTGAAATATGAATTTGAATAAGTTAATAATATCAAATTAAGCATTTATATGCACCAGCAATAAAAATGGAGTTGAAAGATGGTCGTGTTATTTGTCAATACACTATGACCCAAAAGTCTGTTATTAAATTAAACCTGTGTCCGCATTTTTTTTTTTTTTGCTTATATCCACTTCAAGACCAACTTGTCCAATTTTTTGGCATTAAATACCTATGACAGAACAAGTTGAAGAAAACTTTTACTTTCACCAAATAAAAGAAGAAGAGTTGTTAAATGTGCTGAGCGAAATGTCAATTATGTAACTCTGGCACAAACTTTAGGTGTCAAATATAAGACAACTTACAATTGGGTTTGCAGCAGAAAATCAAATTTTACCTGAAGAGGTAGTTTTAAACCAAAAAAATTGACTGAGGATCAAATTGAAAAAAAGTTAATATGGATTGAAAGTCAACTGACATTGGTGGCTATTAAAAACAAAAATATAGTAAGACATTTTAACATTGTGCACCATTGATTTATGACAAATATGACAAATTAGCAATATGTATTTATGATACATATGACATTGATTTATGACACATATGATAGTTTAGCATTAGTGTCAGCACAACAACAATTACCTCGATTACTTTTAAGTCAATTGTTTTCATTTAAAAAAGTGCACAAAGAGCCTTCTAAAATTAAAAAAAACAACTGGCGAACCTCTCAATCTACTTTTTGTTTCTTTCTGACATAATTTTTGCTTACTCTTTGTTTGATAACTTAACTCTTCCTCTTCCAGCCGTTTTAATAAAAAACGCTGTGACCAGTTATTATTTATTGGATAAAATTTAGATGACATAACATTGCAAACTAATTGAAACTCAAATAGTAAATCTCTTTGAAAGAAAAAAAACAAACAAACTATATATCAATCAAGAGCTAAACAAATGAACTTTTAAATTATATAAGTTTTTAACATGCTTCATTTAACAACAAAAAATGCAAAGTGTATAAATATAAGTTTTTAACATACTTCATTTAACAACAAGAAATGCAAAGTGAAAAAAAAAATTAAAACCATTATTTTTGTAAACTAAAACATTTACATTAATTCTGATGAACACCTTCAAGATGCACACAATTTTTTAATTGGGTTTTTCAAAACGTCTTGCAGGCCGAATCAAATCTCACAACAGGTTGGATCAGACCCGTGGGCTGGATGTTGTCCACACCAGATTTAAAGCTTAGGTCAGTTTTTTTTTTAACTTTATGAAAACACTGACAGCGGCTTTTGATTTTTTTAAATTTTTATAACAAGCCACTGGTAATGGCTTTCGAGTATGCTTCAAAATTAATCCTTTTTTGCACATAAATTTTTATACTAGACACATATAATTCGTTTGTTTTAAAGGTTTAATTAATTAATTATCTACATAATCAAGAACAAATAAGAGCCATATTATGTAGTTGTAGAAAGTTATTATGTGATAAATTTAAAATTTCTTGAGAAATCCTTGATAAAAAAATAACTTCTTTAAACTTAGTTAAAATAAAGCACCGTTAACACTGTAAAAGTTATTAGTATAAGTGTATAAGTATTTAGCTAAGTAGTTACAAAAGTCTTTTAAAGAAGAAAAACATTCTTAATATACACTAAATGAGATTTGTTTTGGATATTTTAGTTACTACTAATAATAGTTTTAAGCATTTTGCATTTTTTTTTGCTCAATGATGTGCTTTATTTAATTAAAAAATTCATTTAACTATCATTTTTGATATAGTTTGTTATTCTTTCAAAGTGATTTACAAGAGAAAGTTAAAATGCTCTCTCAACTTTTAAACTCCAAAACATAAACCTTAACGAACAAGGTCGCTGCACAGAGAAACAAGTTAAGCATGGTACTACCATGGACCTGGTAGGGATTGAACTCAGAACTTCTCATTTATTTAGGCAAGCCACTACATGACTACCGCATTCTTTTATTTCAAAGTGATTTTGATACCGCAGTTTTACTTGCTTTATAAAGTTTTGTTAAGTCATGTTAAATTGAAAGACTAGTTAACTTATTTTGAAAATTTCAAAAAAAAATTTAAAATTTATAAAAAAACAAAGTATATATTTAATTTTCAAAAAAGATAATTAAATTTATTGAAAAATTAGATATATAATTTACTTTTTCTAAATATAAAAGAATATTCAAAATTATATTATTATTTATTCACTATAACATATTTAGATCAGCAATTGCTTACTAAAGTTTTGCTTATCTTAAAAGAATACAGCTTTTTCAGCACACACACACAAAATAAAAAATAAAAAAATTGCTGTCCTATCCCAAACCTTCAGTTGATGTAGTGGAACTCCTTTGTGACAGCAGGCTACAGGTATTTGTACCTTAAAATGTATGTGTACCTTAAAATATTGGTAATTGAATTTTGGTCTCTTATATTTTCAAATCAATTGGAAAAAGGTTTATATTATACAAGGAAGTAACAAAGGCATAAAAGAATATAATCTAAAACAATAAGTCTATTCAATGTTAAGTATACTCTGACAACTGATGATATTCTGTATTTTTTCTAAAAATTAGAACATATTTTTTCACTTAAAACATAAAATTCAGATTTAAAACAAAGAATGAAGTTATAAAGACTATATATGATCATATATGAAATATATGGAATGAAGTTATAAAGACTATATATGATCATATATGAAATATATGGAATGATCAGTAGTACAAAGACTATAGTTAGACTATAGTTAGACTATAAAACTTAAATTTAAGATTTAAATTTTTATTGCTATTTTAGTTATCATCGAAAACACTAGACCTACATTTTAACCCTCTAGTTCCCAAAACCGCCTCAATATTATAAAAATCCATGTAAAAATTACATCGCTAGAAATTTTAGCGTAATGCTCGTGTCCGCCTATAGACAATAGCATACGAACCAAGTTAGGTCATATTTTTTATTTTAGAAAAAAATTAGCTTGAAATTGTGTTTTAATAGCCTCAATTTAGCCTAGCATAATTTTTTGGTGAAGAAAAAAAATTGGGGCACTAGAGGGTTAAGGTGGTTTTTTTAAAACCGATAAAATACTACATTTTAATTGGTTTTCTATAACCTTTAAAATACTATTTTAATTGTCAATTTAAATTTTACAACTTATCAAATAGCAAACAAATTTAGAATTAACAACATTTTGCAGGATTACTTGCTACACACTGACTTTAACACATCATTGCAAATAGGGCAATGCCTGTAGCCAAATACACCTTCTTTGACATTGATCTGTGCATTTGATAAACAGTTCTTTTATTATTGCACGATTATTTTTATTTACCTGTTTCTCCTTGTCTTTTTTCTTTTTTTTGCTTTCTTTTTCAGCTACTGCTTCTAAGACCTTTTCCCCCTCCATTGATCCATGTTGCTGAGTTACTTTTACGGTTTTTTTAGAGGTGTCTTTTGGGGTAACTTTGAATATGGTAGCAAATCCGGAACATCTTCAAGAGGCAACGGAGATTCAGTAAGATCATGGATAACTCTATA